CGGGAAGGAAAAAGAAAGCCATATCTCTTTACACCTCATTAAACCAAATGATTGGCTCTTTACAGTCATTACTAAACATTTTGTTTGCACATAAAAATTTATAGTGACAAATTCCATACAGGCTGTTTTCATTTTTTCTGACCTTTAGTAATCCTTTTGGCTGAAGATGTATGAGGTGAACTCTTCAACTTGTTCTACAAATTCACTACTCAGATCTTCTTCACTAATTGTCTCTAGTTTAGAAAGATACTTTCTCTGAGCAGGCCTGTCAAAGACAAAGCACTTCCTCTTTGGGAAGAATGTCCTGATGCAGAGCCGAGGCTTGTTAAAGCTTTCACTTTTCTTATCAGATCCTGCAAAATGAAAATTAGATATAGTAAACTTCAAATGTATTATTTCAATATATGACATTTCCAATTCCATAATATCTACAAAGCCTGTGTAAGCTGAAAAACACCTAATATAAAAATGATAAAAACTTAAAGAAATAGGAAAGAAAACACACTTTATGTTAGAAAAAGTAGTTTTGAAATTTCACATGGAGTCCAAACGATTCAGCAAAGCTCTGTTTCATTTCCCACAACTGTCAGGATAATACAGCTACAAAATTGAGACTATTGTCAACTGTGCCAGGAATGACATTTATGAAATTTTTTCCCTTTGTATCAGAACATTCCACCAAGCACAGGTACCTTTTGTCAGGGTCAACGAATATTCCAGGTACTCATCAGCAGTGATGGGTTTTCCATCAGCTTCCAGCTCCAGGGAGAAATCTCTCAGAGCCCACACAAAGGTTGGAAAGAAACCCACAAAGTTAGCTGAGTCATCCACCCCACTCTGCTCAGGTGATGACTTTGATTTGATTAGATCAGTCAGCTCTGTCACATAGCTGAGATGTTAAATTAAGAAAACTATAAAAACAAGTTTACTATTTCATAATAAATATTCTACCACTGCCTCCCCAAATTAATGTTTTGCTTTTGTTTTTATCGGTGTTGGTTAGTTTTTGTCAACTTGACACAACTGGAGATACATGGGAAGAAAAATACCTGAATAGTCAGGCCTGCAGATATATCTGTGGGGACATTTTCTCAATTACTATTTGATGCAAGAAGCCCAAGCCCCCAGTGTGTGATGCCATCCCTAGACTGGTGGTCCCTGGTTGTATAAAAAATGTAACCCAGTAAGCCACAAGAAGCAACCCAGTAAGCAGAGATCCTTCTTAGCATCTGCTCTAGTCTCTGTCTCTGGATTTCTGTCTTGGCTGCCCTTGACATTAGAGTCTAACCTGTAAACAGGACAAATCCTTTCATCTCCAAGTTGCTTTGGGTCATAATGTTCACCACAGCAACAAAAAGGAAACTAGGACATTAGCTCATTGATTGACAGAATTTAATTACTTGCACACATCTATGGATCCCCTGATATGAAACAGTTCCAGGGAATAATTTTTAGAATAAATGAAAGGATGCTACCATTATAGGGCTTACATTGTAACAGATGAATACAGAAACAAAAACATGTAGATAAAATATTTTAAAATCTTCAAAGTTTGCTATAATTTTGATGTAGCAACAGGTATTATCTAAAGACTAGAGAATAACTATTTATGCCAAGTTACTCAGAATTTCATCTGCTTTCTGAAGTCCTTGATTAGCAGAAATATAAACAAATTAGAGAAGTCATCTATGAAAGCTCCAGCGGAGAGGCCAGAGAGATGGTTCAGTGGTTAGGAGCCTTTAATGTTCCTGCAGAGGACCAGAGTTCAGTTATCAGATTCAAGTTTCAGGAAATATGAAACCTCTGGTCTTAGCAGGCACCTGATTTTGTACAAACATTCACCATTGAAAACTTTGAAACTTCTACTTGAAGAACATTCCAGAAATAGTCAAAAAACCTTGGATTGAAAAAACATGAGTATATGTGACATGTATATGGACTCTGGTGCATAGAGTACAAGTGTTAAAGAAATATGGGCCAGGATGCAAGTTTTGAAGGCCAAAGTAAAAAGTTTCAAGTTTGTTTTTTAATAAATATGAATGTAGCAATGGATTTTGAATGTAGAGGAGGAAGATATGATGGTATTTCAAAAGAGAACATTGCTGGAACTCCAACTGGCAGTCAAGACTGTTGGGAAAGAACAGCTTGGTCTTTGAGACAGAACAAGGGAGGTGTAGACAAGAGACAATGGAAAGAAGATACAGAGGTTGGTCTAGGGAAGTAGCTTTGCTGATAGAGTTTAAAACATGTGTGAATTATTACTTTCTAGGGTAGGAAGGAACACATCAAGATTAGTCTAAGGTTTTGATCAGAGCAATGTTGTGGAACATGTGGGAATTTACTCTAATGGGAAAGGTTGGGAAAATGTTTTGGTGAATTTTGAGTAAATCATCTCTTAAATAATTTTGTGAAGCTGTAAAAATTTGAATTCAGTCACAGTTGTAAACTGATATTTGATGGTGACTGAAATAGAGGTGCACAGAAGTCCTTTCGTCAGAATCATATTGCATAGGGACCAAGAGTGGAGAATGAAGAGAAGAAGTACAGAAACTAATGAGCTGTGATATTCAGAGTCACAAAGGCAATGAAAAGTTTACCAGAGAAGAAATTAGAATGTTAGAAAATTCAGAAGTTCTGCATGTAACAACCAAGTGGTCCAGAGGAGAAAAAATGATTTTTGAAATGTGCCTAAATGAGGAAATAATATGACTTATGAATGACCATATTGATACAAAAAGGAATACAGTATGATACCCAATGTTAAGTTCATAGAAATTCATGCAGCATTGATAATGACATGGGTGGGTAATTGGGAAAGTAGGGGAAAAAGAGAAAAGGAGAAAGAACTGGGAGTGAATAGTGAAAACCAGTGTCTCTTGTTTACCAGTCTCCCAACAGTAGGGGTTAAAATCTTCAGTAAAAGGAGGCTATCTGGGCTAGGAACTCATAAAAGACTACAAAGAAAGGTGATATGGTTTGACATCCTTGGCTTCCAAGGAGATCATCTTTCCAATGGCAAAAGAATGAA